CTTATGTTACAGTAGCAGAATAAAAACTGCTGCAGTGTGATCTATTCCTAACTCATGGAGAAGCCCAAAGAAAGTCTTGATTAGATACTGCTTGATTTGGAGAGCTGGATGGAGTAATCAACAAATAGCATGCTATTGAAAGATGTAGATGCATTAAAAACAGGTTGCATTTATTCTTTCCAGAAGTACATATTTAGGAATTCTATGTGCTTTATTGCCAAACTTTGTTTGCTTAGAAGGTACAGTGTCTGTATATCAACGTTATAACGTTATTAGCTTGAGCCATAATTCATTCATTTGTTCCTAGCAAGCTAATAGAATGGTCTTTAGTGTGCAGCTACAAAAATGGGATTATTGCAGTCAAAAGGCACCATGTAAATATGTGCCTTTTTATTTATATGTTCTTCAACTATGAAAAGTCTGTGGGTAGATAAACACTTACTGTTACAACAATTTTTAATTTATTACATTTACATATTAGCCTTCAAGATTAGATTTTTCCAAAGTGACTTAAATTAATATAAAGCTCAAAAAATAAAGTAAAATAAGTAAAGTATGATTAAAATGCATCACAATTACAACAATAACAAAACAATATGATTAAAATGCACCGTATTACAATAATAACAAAATAATCTGTCATGATTATGGGCAACCTTTTCCTTGTCCTTTACTGGTTGGGCTTTGGGAAATTGGCAATTCAGCAGCATTTGGGGATGCTACAGGTTGCCCTTGTTTGGTCTATATGGTGAATTAAGATCTTGTCCAGATTCTCTGTTTGCTTTATATTCTGCAATACAACAGAATATAAAGCTTCATAAAGTAGCCCAGAAACCGTTTTTTGTTTAAAGTTAAAACTCTATGAAAAGTAAGCATATTAGTAAAATATTTTTAATAGGGTAATGTGTGTAGGCTTAGAATCCTGTCTGCATGTAATGTCCTCTGTGCAGACACAGCTCAAGTACTGGGAAAAACCTCTTTTTTCTCAGTCTTTTGGGTTGCTGTACTGATATTCTAAAAGTTTCATGTATTAGTTTGTCTTGGATCTCAGTGTTGATATTTGCTAGGGTCTAGTTACAGATGTGTCTATAATACTTATCTGTTCCTTTATTGTCTGTGTTGCCTAGCTCCCTTTAATCTCTGCCAGAATGCAAAAAATCTGTGTGTCCGATTTCAGTATGTCACTCACAGTACTTTTAATAACTTGATGTTCCCTTTGATTTCAGTTATCAGAAACCGTCTGGCTAGATTTTCCTGTATCATGGTTAGTGGCAGGCTCAGAATGAATTGTTCATCCAAAGAGATGATGCAGCTTCTGAATTTGACTAGTTCTTTCATGCCGCTTTTTTCTAAAAAAAAATGTTTCAGATTTTCTACTTTTTTTTAGTAAAGTCTGTCACTTTTTCTTACTTACAATTATTACACACCAAATTGAAAGAAGTCACATTTTGCAGCTTAGTGATATGCAGAATCTACATGCAAGTTAACCAAGGATTCTTTGACTTGCTTGCTGGCCTGTCTAGTGAATGTGCAAGAAGCCAAGAGAGCTTTTGGAGGTAGACTAAAGAAGGAATTGTATACCTTTTTGAAAATACTTCAGATAAATCCAAATTTGTGTGCATCACACATTGGAACAGAGAGATACTGGGGACGGTGGATATATAATGACTGAGCCAGTCACACTAAATATGAATGGATAATTGTATGCATTATTGCTCAAAACTCAAGTATCCTGATTTGACATTGAGGACCATGTTAAGAGAAGATTTACCTCAGTGACCAAGATGGGCCTTTTTCCAGCATGTTCTCAGTTTTTTATGAACTTTGGAGCAGCCTCAGTCTCTTGATAATTATGGAATTTGATCTGATTAGCCAAAAGTTGTTTACAAGTTTAAATTCTTATTACAATGTCATAATGAACTTAAACCTTTGTATCCTAAGTGTACAGTTGAGGAAGTGGGAGAGTTTTCTAATACACATAACCTTTCAAAGTTCTCCAATCCAGGGGCAATTATTATAACAAAGCTAAACCTCAAAACCAAGGACTACAAAGAGATTTCTAACCATCTCACCAAGTGTAATATAGATATGATGAACAACAGAGACTGTCAAGTTTTTTCATATTTGGGTCTTGTGATCACCACTAAGAAGTCTTTCTTAAGAGTCTTTCTAATGGAATATATTACAAAGAAACATTTCACAATGTGAAACATGAGAATCTTCCACAAGAATGAACAAAACAATGAAAGCACCATTGAGTTCAATTGGACTTTCTTTAGGCTGACATAGAAAACCTACAATTTATTTCCTATTTATTTCTGTTTTTGCTTTTACCCTCAAGAAGATGACCCAGTTTCTTAGATCAATGAAGTAGAAATGGGTCTGGATTAACTTTAGCAGCACTGAAGACTCTCTGTCTTCATTTTGCTATGAATATTTATTATGGATTCTTAAAGACTGGAAAATGGACATGTATTGGATGCCTCTGCCTTTCATCTTGTAAAAAACATGCTCAAATAGTAAGAATTGTTTTACACAAAGAATGAACCAAGAGACATCCTTTAAAAATGGCAAATAACTGTATTAAGGCACTTTTTCTGGCAATCATTCACTACAATATAACTGTGTTTTTTGAGATGAAAAACTATATCATGTAATCTAACTTAATTTCTAAATCAATATGTAAAGCAACTTTATAACAATTTAGTTATGTACAAATGGACAAGTCTTGCACCTTTTTTTTTTTGCAAAATAATTACTTTGTAGTTACAGGAATTGTTCTTTTCTATCCCTTTCTATAAATCAAGCAACCAAATATTATATTGTCAAATATTATATTTGCAACAGTGAAAATAGAAGCATTTATAGAAATATCTTCCCACCTTCTCACCACTCCGCACCCGCCCTCCCCATGTGTCTTTGGTTTTAATGTTTGTATTTAACTTTTTATGTTTTAGCTTACCGTATATGTAGAGTTACCCTATGGTAAGATAGGCAGCCAATAAATTTTATAAATAAATAAATCTTCCTTTAAGCAATGATTCAGACTTACCCTACCAAATGCATATGGATGTAGGGGGAAAATCTCTATGACTCCCATCCCCACTTCTAAAATGTGCATCTCTTCCTGATATGGTTCTCCTTTACTTCCAACTTCATACCTATGGCTAGATAACTTTGACACTTTATGATCCAATGCGGCAGTAGTGTTTTTCATTTTCTGCTGACATAAACTTTGTTGGCCCACAAATCTGTCCTCCTTTTTACCACCTTTGACTGCAGCCCTGCCCTTCCAATCACTGGTTGATTTCCTCCATGGTGACTGTGACTTAGACCACAGGACCAGTGCAGGCCTGTAATAGAATGCCTCCCAGGACTACAGCCAGAACTACTGTCAATTTTAGTGATCTGTCAGAAGAGAAAAAGGCAGAGCTTGTGTCACACATGAAGTGTTTCCAGGATAAAAGAAAATACCTCCCTCCCTTCTAATTTCTGAAACATACAAGACTGGCTCTTATTTTCTTGATATAGATTATCTGTTGATTTTTTAATATATATTTGAATTTGATGTGAGAAATCATCTCCACTGATTTGTTGGTCACATCCATCAGAATTGTCATGAAGAAGCCATTTGCTCTTACCAGGGTTATGTTGCCACCAGTTCCTCCCCATAGAAGACATCAAAACTTTCAACCATTGAGTCAACATCTTAATGGGGTAGAGATGTATACCTGTATGTCATCAGCATACTGTTGATACTGACCCCCATGCCTCTGAATGAGCTCATTCAACAGCTTTGTGTACATATTGAATATGAAGACAAAGAACTGAGTCCTGAGGCACCCCATATAAGAGGGGCATAGGGCTTGGTCTCTCACCTACTGACACTGATTGGAACTGACCACTGAGGAAAAAGTGACTCCCACCCCAATCCTTTATTCCAGTCCAGAAGGATATCATGGTTGATGCTTTAAAAATCGTTGAGAGATTCAGGAGGGCTAGGAAGGATGTATCACCTGCACCCAGGGATGAAATCCAGCAGGTTCTGACAGGTTCTGGAGAATCAGTAGCAGAAATTTTGAGCAGTTCGGAGAACCGGTAAATGCCACCTCTGGCTGGCCCTAGAGTGGGGTGGGAATGGGGATTTTGCAGTATCCTTCCCCTGGAGTGGGTGGGAATGGAGATTTTGCAGTATCCTTCCCCTGCCATGCCCATCAAGCCACACCCACAGAACCGGTAGTAAACAAATTTGGATTTCACCACTGCCCACATCCCTCCAAAGGTCATATACAAGCATGACTGATTTCAACACTATAACCCAGCCCTAATTTCAGCAGAAAAGGATCAAGATAATTTATTCTTCCAGAGCCCTTTGGAGCCCATTGGAATATCTACCAATGAGATTTAGAGATCTCATAACAAAGGTTTTATCCTTAGTTATTGAATTCCTTATTTCAAGAATCTCAGTGTGCTTGGAAATCTTTCCAAGCACATTGAGATTCTTGAAAATAAAAAATAAGAGGCATTTTGAAGAATATTAAAAATAGATGTACGTTCAATGAAATATAACACATTTTGGGTGGGAGGATTCTTTTATTTAATAGTTTTTTTTGTTGAGATACAACATAATGTCCTATTTCTCTTTTTATAATTCATTGTACTTTTGTTTCAAAGCAATAATACTATGTAACTTCCATGTACCAGGATGTATATAATAAAATAACCTATGCTATATTGGGCCAAAAATCCATTGTGAAAAGAAGTAACCAAAAATCCATTGTGAAAAGAAAGTTCGCCTGTGGCGCCAGTTGCACCCCTACTTGGACCGTGATGCCCTACGCACAGTCACTCATGCGCTTCTCACCTCCCGTATTGACTACTCCAATGCTTTCTACATGGGGCTGCCCTTGAAGACCACTCGGAGGCTTCAGCTGGTGCAGAATGTGGCCGCACGGGTAGTGATGGGAGTGTCTCAACACTCCCACGTTACACCTCTCCTGCGTGACTTGCATTGGTTGCCGGTTGCCCTCCGGGGAGATTCAAGGTGCTGGTGATTACCTATAAAGCCCTACATGGCCTAGGCCCGGGATATTTGACGGACCATCTGCAGCCAGCAATAGCTTCCCATCGCCCTGTGCGTTCCCACAGGGAGGGCCTACTCAGGGTGCTGTCGGCCAGACAGTGTCGGCTGTCTACCCCCAGGGGGAGAGCTTTCTCTGTGGGCACACCCACCCTTTGGAATCAACTCCCTCTGGAGCTCCAGGTGGCCCCCGACCTCCGCTTTTTCCGCTGTGGCCTGAAAACATGGCTATTTCACCTGGCCGCCCTGGACTGATGGGGATTTTAATAGAATTTTAACTGGGTTTTATTGAATTTTTGTTAATTTTAACCTGGATTTTTTGTTTTAATGGTTTGTTTGCTTTGTTTTAATTGTTGTGAGCCGCCCTGAGTCCATTGGAGATAGGGCGACATACAAGTTCCCTAAACAAACAAACAAACAAACAAACAAACTTTATGTAGTTGCAGTGGGAATTATGCTAGAATGTCTTTTCTTTACACAGTTTATCCTAGTCAACAATTACATGCTGAACAAACTCACAACCTTGTTCCCAGAGAAATGTTTTCTAATACTTATATCCTGGACTAATTTTATACCTTGGGTAGGCAACATGGTAGAGCTACTTTGGTATAATGGCTAAGGCATCAAGCTAGAAGTTGGGGGAGTGTTAAGTTTCACATTGTGCCAGTCACTCTCTCTTAGCTCTAGGAAGGAGCAAATGGCAAACCACTTCTGAAATCCTGTCAAAAAAACCTGCAGGGACTTGTCCTGACTGACACAAAAGTATCACAATAAAATAAAAAGGTAACATAGGGCCTATGGAAATTTCTCTTGTTTCTTAGCAGGTTCTGTATCTGAGTTGAAGGATGTATGTATATTTAGGTATGTATGATATTCTAACTAAAAATTAATCACATGCTTACCATAATTTACAAGGTGGCATCTTTATTTTCAAACTTGTTTATTGGTTCTTTAGATGTTTTCAAATATTAAAAATAATGGATGCAGCAATGCACCTTCTCCCAAAAGATGTGGGAATTATATTAACATTAGAGGCTAAAATCGTAGTGATTTAAATTCATTGGCAAGGGCCGTCTCTAGCTTTTATTTTGTTAGTTGCCAATTTTTTGATTTACTGTGCCCACTGTTCATCCATTTTGTGACTAGGCAAGTCCTTTATTATCAGCCATTTTATGAAGTTGTCCAGAACATACCTTAAAATTCCAGATGTGCTCACTTATTGCCTCCTCCTGGTTAACAGTATTTGTAGCGATTGATAAGAATGCTCATATTTTTCTGATTTTTTTGTAAAAATATCTAAGATAAATAATATCAAACTGGAGAAAGAATTATGCTTCCATCTACTTAGTAGAAATGCATTTTGTAGTTACTCTATGTAGCCTGTGGAAGAGCCTTTAAAAAAGCTATTATTCACAGTTACTCTTTCCATCCTGCCAAGCGGCAATCTATATTCTCATCTCAGTATGTATTTAAGTTTGGAAATGCTGAAGACTTTTAGATTGCCCAGACAATCTTGAAAAAAAGAACCACTAAATTTAGGATTGCATTGTTTCATTTTTCATCTTTTCTCCATCTCAGAATAGTAATAATTATGTAAAATAATGATAATTTGTTGAGATACATAATATCTCAAGAGGAATTGGACTCACACAGTTCATTGTCCTCCGCAGCATGATAATCTGGGCAAAACCCCAACTACCTCATTCCTAGAAGAATTCGTTTCCACTGAGGTCACAGCTCTTTCTTTTTCCTTTTTGTGGCCATAGACTCTTTTTGATGGAAATTGCAGAAAATGCATCCCCCCCCTTCTGCATTATTGAAAAAGAACACCTACTGCAACTTTTGCCTTTGGAGACCTATGATTGGATGAAGTCCTCATACTAGGCCAGTACAGTCTGATTCCTTCCTTGATGATGGGCATGACTATATGATTTCAGTGTTATGGGCAGGGACAGGCTGTTTGAGTAGTCGGCCAATGCTGTAACTGCTAAGGAGGGATGAATTGCGTTTTATAAAAGTGAAGTAGAATTTTGGAACTCCTTTAATTTTTATTATTATTATTATTATGCATGTAAGTGTTTTCTTAACACCTTTCATCCCATAAGCTGAAATTGAAAATGTTTTGAATCTTTGGAAGGATCAACAATGAAACATTTTCATTGTTCTTTCTTTAAAAAAAAAACCACGGTGGAGGGAGAGCCTTTTGCTGAGATGACCTGCATGTTGGGATAATATCTTTTCATATTTGAGAAGAAGACAAAGGAACTACAGTGCTAAGCACAGAACACTTATTAAAAACAGTTGGGAAGCATATAAAAGGTTCCGTGTGTGTGAAAAACGGGACAGCTGTGATGGTCTATTGGGAAAGTATGTACAGATGGTAGTAAGGAGGAGAATGATGACTGCATGGCTGATAAATGAAATACCAAAAAAAGGGGGGGAATGCATTATGTTGGTTGATCGTTGTAAATTATACATTTTTGGGGTGCAGCATTTAGTTCTTGGATTTCTAATGATTCAGCCAGCAAATGCGAGTGACTGCAGGGTTTCAGGTCAGATTCTGTTTGCAATATGAAGAAAATATTTTACAAATTACTTGACATACAATTATTAGAGGAGATAATTAAACATATGGTTTTCTTCACATTTAGCATGTCACAAGTTTGTCATAATGGTGTCCGTAAGACTCTGCATGAATTTAGGTCTGAATTAGTCACAGTTAAAATGTGGGGTGTGTTTTTTTTTAAATGGTGGCGGCGGCGAAGCACATTTGTTTGTTTTCTGTTATAGAAAAAGTGAAAGAAAATGACACAAACCTGGGTTTGGCTAAGAGTGGCAGAAAAAAAAATTAAAGGAAATTATGTCATTTAAAAAATAAATGGAAGTAACCAATATTTATTTATTTCAATATATCCCAGCAATCTATCAAATATATGTAGTCTTCAATTTACAATAATTTGTTTACTGGGCTGAAAAATGTCTGTTCTTCACACTTACAGCCGGTATTCACACTTATGACCTCACACCACCTTCATGGTCATGTGAATACAAATCTGGCACTTGGCAACAAGCATATGATCACAATATGTGACCTTTTCTGCTAGTTTCTGGCAAAAAACATCCATTTGGAAGTTTGCCTAATGTCCCTGGATTTATTTAATGACTGTGGTGATTCACTTAATGACCATTGTAAAATGGTCATAAAATTGGGTACAACACAACACAACTCCACTGACTTACAAAAGAAATTCTAGTCCCCCTTATGTTTTTTTTTTTTATTATTATTACATTACAAACAACATATACAATATTTCACCCTGTGCTATACATAAGAAAGGAAGATTTGGTTCTTCGGATATATCCTCATGATCGCCAAAATCCACGTTCTCGGGGTACAGGTACCGAAGCATCCAATTTTCCCAGCGCATAATCCACGAATGGTTTCCAAATTTTCCAGAATATATCTTCTTTATAGTCACCATTTCTAATTTTAATATCACATGTCATTTTATCGTTTAAAGCTAATTTCCACATTTCACAATACCATTCTTCTATTCTAAAATTCACATCTAATTTCCAATATCTGGCTATTATAATTCTACCCATTATAATCATAATTCTAATCAATTCTTTCTCATATTTTGTTGGTTCTATTTCCTTAATTATCAACAGTAATATAATTTCTGGTCTCAATATTATTGCTTTCCCCATCATTTCAAATATCATTTCCTCCAATTGTTGCCAAAACTTTTTAACTTTATCACATTTGTACCACATATGTTCATAAGTCCCTAATTCCATATCACATCTCCAACATTGTTTACTAATTTTGTTATCCATCAATGACAATCTTAATGGAGTCAAATACCATTTCCAAACAACCTTATAATTATGCTTTTTAATCCTTACAGATAAAGTCTTCATAATTCTACTCTTCCAATTCACATTCCAATCTAAATCTGATATTTTAATATTAAGTTCTTTTTCCCAATTCATCTTCATCACCCTTTGTGGTTTTCCATCAAAATTTATAATCTTATATATCTTACTAACGAGTCCCTTTAGCCCAATTTCATCTTTCATAATTTGGAATACTAAATGTTCAAATTCAGTTTTACTTCTACTTATCGAACAATTGTCCCTTACCTTCTTAGTCCATTTTTCTATCTGTATTTTTTCAAACCAGCCTATACCCAGTTTTTCAATGATTTCTTTTTTCCTCCTTTCATTTTCTGAAGTTTTTAACCAATCTATTATAGTTTGTATATTTTCATCTTCCATTACCCTATCACGACTTATATTAGTTTTAATTGGCCAATTTTCAATTGTCTTCCCTAAGAAAATTATATCTGGAATTAAAATTTTAACAAATTTATTCCAAATTTTACTCAGTCCCTTTAACCAATAGCTATTAATTACACACTTACATTCATAAGTCAAGGACTACCTATATGCAAAAGACAATATGAGTATAGTGACATATGTTACCATTTATGTCTCATTGAAATGCTTATCTCTGCATCATAATGAAAAGAAAGTTGCTGCGGTTCAAACCAGTAGTGGTTTTCACTTACCTTCGCTATCAATTTGGAACTGTGAGTATGCATGTGTGCTCACTTTGCTCATGTGCAGCGCTTTGTGCAGAACCTTCTGCGCATATGCAGAGCGTCCATGATGTCGTCTGGGCGGGTGGCCGAAGCCTCCCACTACCGGTGTGCCTGAACCGGTGCAAACCAGTAGAAACCCACCACCGGTTCAGACCAATCCCTGTCCCCACATATGTGATATCAAATTTTCAACATACTATTTCACTGTTGTACAATGGTCATAACATTTAGCTTTGGGGAATAATGCATATTTAAATGATCAATAATATGTTTACATTTCAGGGAACGTGAGGCAACTGAGGGAGTTTCTAGCTATTATTCCAGCAGTTCAACAGGAAGCAAGAAGATCGGAATTGGTTATATAGTTTTATTAATGAAAACAGTTTCTAATATAAAAAGTAATTCCTGCTTCTTCAAGAATCTATCCATCCTCTCCTGAACAGGAGAATGCCAGCAGGAAAAAGAAGAAAGTCTGGATATCCAGGGAATATTTTTTTAATATTTTAAAAGAAAACTTTCTCTTCTGAAAAAAGAAAATGTGTGTATTTCCTATTTTAGAGATTATAAATCGTTACACAAAAGCTTTCAATGGATATAGAAATCTATTCTGAAACCGGAGCCCATGGTTTTTCCTGTTCCTTTAGAGCTAGTTTAGATCTCCAGTTCTGCTTTTAGGACACCATTCTCCTTAAAAAGAAATTCCATCTTTTGAAAAGCTCAACACATTTGTCTGATAATAATTGTCCATCTGTCTGCCATTTGATAAAACCAGGAAAGATAACAATGTTTCAGTAACAACAAAAAGTGCAATATTTAAACCAGTGGTTTTCGAGTGGCAATGTACAACTGTGAAAACTGGACAACTATAACCTAGGGACACGGTGGCTCAATGGCTAAGACACTGAGCTTGTCGATTGAAAGGTTGGCAGTTCGGCGGTTTGAATCCCTAGTGCCGCGTAACAGGGTGAGCTCCCATTAATTGTCCCAGCTCCTGCCAACCTAGCAGTTCAAAAGCACATAAAAAATGCAAGTAGAAAAATAGGGACCATCCTTGGTGGGAAGATAACAGCGTTCCGTGCGCCTTTGGTGTTTAGTCATGCCGTCCACATGACCACAGAGACGTCTTTGGACAACGCTGGCTGTTCGGCTTTGAAATGGAGATGAGCACCGCCCCCTAGAGTCGGGACAACTAATGTGCGAGCGGAACCTTTACCTTTACCTTCACCTTTACCTTATAACCTTATAGCTAGACTGAACTAAGACTCATAGCAGGGGTGAAATCTACTTACCTTCCTTACCGGTTCGGAAGTGCAAGTACATGCACACACAGACCTTCTACTCATGTGCAAAACCGTTTGCGCATGGGCAGAATGCCTGATCCGATCCGAACCGAGAACATTTCACCCCTGACTCATAGTGAATGGCCTGGTGGATTTATTAAGCTGAGGATGGGTTGAACCTGGGTTTTCCTGCTCTGAGTCCAACATTTAACCACTATAACCATGTTGGTGAATATCATACACTCTTATACTTATTTCTTATCTTGCCTTATGGAACAATTCTTGACATATTTGTCTTCAGTTGTCATATTCCTGAAGACAACTATTTTTTTAAAAAAAAAAATTGATTTATATGCCGCCCTTCTCCGGAGACTCAGGGCGGCTTACAATGTGTTAAGCAATAGCCTTCATACTTTTGTATATTTATTCAAAGTCAGCTTATTGCCCCCACAATCTGGGTCCTCATTTTACCTACCTTAGAAAGGATGGAAGGCTGAATCAACCTTGAGCCTGCTGAGATTGAATTTATAGTAATTGCAGACAGCTGGTGTTAATCACAATGCTTTTAGTCTGCTGAGCCACCAGGCCCTTTTAAACTATTAGTCTGTATGAAGTTTTCTCTCAATTTTGTACTCTAGTTCCTCATAGAACGAGGTCCTTTGTAATTTTAGTTGCTGCTCTGAAAATACTGAGTTGGTCTTGATGGTGATATGGGCAGCCTATGAATTTAATAAACAAACATGTACTTTTGTCAACATCCTTCCTAAAATGAAGACAAGGTATTCTAACTATAGTCAGATCAGGATGACAGAAAAGATTGCCATTCAGTATGGCAGGTTGAACAGTAGGTTGAATGGAGTTAAGTGTTCTTCAATGCATTACATCATTAATGTTCAGTTTGTAATCTACCAAGAGCCCCAGATCCTTTTTGCATGTGGCCCTGCCAAATATAGTCTGTCCTATCCTTAATTTCTGCCTTCTAATTTTTCTTTTTAAATGCTCCAAATCTAGCCGTCCCTTGATTTACTCTTATCTAGTGTCAATTTAGTACTGATCATTAATTGACTAGATTCTTCTTTATAGGTACAAGCAATAAGTCTTTATAGGAACTTTATGTACAGTCCTGATTCTTTGTGCCTGACAAGGACTTTGCATTTGTTTCTGTTGAAATTATTCTTGTTAGATCCTGTCCACTGTTACAGCTTGTCACAGTTTTTCCCTCCAGCATTTTTCAAATCATTCTCTTCAGTTCTTGTTACTTGCTGTCTTGTGTGATTGTTCTAGATATAATCAGTAGATGAAATCATTTTCCTTAATAATAAATAGGTTTTAATAATGTACCTTTCTGCAAACAAACATACTGTCCAGCTGCACTGTGATCCTCAATGATGTCATCTTACCCTGTTTCCTCCCTGTGTTTTGCTTCAGAGTGCGTTGCTCCACAATAGCATATTTCCAACCCCCTGCCCTACACCTGGAAATTGATTGCTTTTGTTTTAGATTGGATTCTCTCCAAAATTGCACAGTCTTGGTTGCCAGCATAGCAGTTCAATATACTAATGCATCAGCTTTAGTGCTTTGACTTTCTGCTCCCTGGTACTTCAAGTTCAAGTCAGAAATAGGAATTAAATATGTGACTTTGGAGCAAGATGCTGAGTTTCATTTATGCTAGTTCAAATATTCCTGTTAACTGTATAGTTCATATGGCCATAATTTTCTCATCGGATAAAATATGATCCCTTAGCATTAGGAAATTATATTTTAAAATGCCAGTCTGATAGGTAGCAATAAAAAGCATGAAGCACTTGGTCTATATGTCTCTATTTTAGTGTTTATTCTCTCTCAAGCAGTCAATAATTGCACCAGTGGAAAATGGAAAATGCCTTAATGAATTATTTGTTCATTAAAGTTTCCTACGAGCCTCCATTTAATATAAATTGGCAATAGCATAAATGACCACCTAAACATTTATCTCGTTTACAAAACTCTTGATCTATTTTTTCATACAATTTGAACAAGTCTTTTTGTTCTAAAGCATTTTCATTAAAAAGTGGATAACAGTTCTTGCCAAAATTACTGAAGTATTTCAGCACAAATTTTGAAAAGTAAGCTTTAATTAAACAAAAGGTGGAAAAGGAAGAAAACAGCCATTTACAATCGTTATCAGAGTGTAACTGGAAGAGACCATAATGTGTATTCTGGTAACATATTTGTAAAATATCTTATAAAAAACCATCAGAAAGACTGCAAGTCTTAGGAGCATTATAATTTTAAAACCCACTTGGGGCTTGGATAATTTGTTTTTATTATACAGCAATCCCATCAATTTATTTAAAACTCCAGTGGAAAAAAAATACTACCTTTTTATGTGTAATCTATTTTGTACTGAGGGACCTTTAATGCTACTTAGTAGACATTATGTTTTTTTCAGGATGTACAGTGAAGTGGTAATACTGTAGTCTATATCTATGCGTACCTCCAACATATATCAGTCATAATCAAAAGTTCTAAAATGATTGGGAGAAGGGAGAATCCTTACACTGTGAGCATCTTATCACATCTACAGAAGGCTATCATTGACATCCATTGAAAATAGTCTGAAGGCAATTTAACAATTGGACATTTCCTGGTAGAGAAACAGCTTTGACTCATTAGATCTGAAGTCCTGACATTCCCCAGTGAAAGTGCCAAATGAGTTCCACTCATGCATGAATTTCCCTGTCATTTCAATGGGGTGGGATATTCTGAAGGGAGCAAAATATGAAAAATGCCCTTATGCTCCATCCTGGCCACTTACATTCATCCAAGGTTTGGAACTTATAGCTTGTTTCATGGGCAGCACTACAAATTAAAGCAGTAGATTCTCTGATTTTATTTTCATAAGGGATGGTTTATGGATGTTTATTCTGAATCACATTTTTTTCATTCTCCGTCACTGATAAAGGCAATCAGTTATTATAAATCAAAAGAATGTAAGATATAGGTTGAAAGAATAGTAGGTGCCTCTTAAATATTCCCAAAGTTGAGTAAGCTATTGACCAATGGAACCATCAGTTTTCTTCTGACCTAGAGTAGAATTCGAAGCCTTATAGGCAGTGATTCCAAAATGTGGCTCTTCAATAAGTTATGTTTATAGAAAGAACTAAAGCAAATCCAACAACTGCCAAGTGTAAAATCAAAATCCTATTCATTGTAGAAATAAGATTCAAGGTTTGAACCTCTTTCTCTTACCCGTTTGGCTGCATCCCTGGATTTGCCACACTTGCATTTCTGGTGGCAGTCATGATAGATTAAATAGATAGATAGGTAGGTAGGAAGATAGATAGATAGATAGATAGATAGATAGATAGATAGATAGATGGATGGATGGATGGATGGATAGATAGATAGATAGATAGATAGATAGATAGGGATGGATGGATGGATGGATGGATGGATGGATGGATGGATGGATGGAGATAGATGATGTAAGTGGATGGATGGATGGATGCATGCATGCATGCATGCATGGATGCATGAATGCATGGATAGATAGATAAGGATGGGTGGGTGGTTGGATTGATGGGTGGATGGATGGATAGATGTAGATAGATGTAGATACATAGAATCAATTTTTTTATTCACTGATAAAGGCAATCAGTTATTGTAAATCAAAAGAATGTTAGATCATTTTGATTATGTGATCAAAATTCAGATGCTTGGCAACTCTTTCATATTCATGATCATTGCCGAGTCCCAAGATCATGATCACTTTTCTGACCTTCTGACAAGCAGAGTCAATGGGAAAGCCAGATTTACTTAACAGCCAGGTTACTAACATCAACTGCAGTGACTCACTTAACAATTGAGGCAAGAAAGATTGTAAAATGGGGCAAAACTCACTTAACAAATGCCTCATTTAACAACAGAAATTTTGGGCTCAGTTGTGGTTGTAAGTTGAGGACTACCTGTACACCTATACGCATACAAACAAATCAGTTTGAGTGCCAGAAATCTGTTTCATAAATGATGTTTTTCCCTGCTAATAGAAATAGAATATTGAAGAAGATAGACTGGATTGGTTGTTCAGTTCAAGATGTTGGGGTATCTTAGTTCTTCTTAGATGACATCACACAACTTTGATGTTTATTGCAAACCGGAAAGAGGGAGGGAGAAAAACAAACTATATGGTCATTAATGGTATAAGAATAATATAAATTTTGATTAGAGAAGTCTGATGTAGTGATCAAAGGGACTTTGAAACTTTGAATCAGGAGCTCTGATCCCGAATGTGAGCTGTAGCTCCATCCTAAGTACAACTG